CTCCTATCTTTATACACATTTCACCAAGTAAAATTACCAATGTGGTAGTTTTTCCACTAGAGACTCTATAGCTTTCAAGGCTATTCATATACATTCATTTCCAACAGGAGCTACGTCGGAGACTCGCCGGATTCTGGAAAAAAATCAAGTTTGACTATTCATAGAAAGATGGGAACGCTTGGAAAGAGGGCGATCCCAGGAGCATCTCAGTGTCGACGAAATCGAATTCGGACGTCGGACGAGGGAGAAACGAGCATCGAAAGTTTGGAAAGGAAATATGTCAGTTCAGGTATCATTCTTGGATATTCAAAAAGTTGGTGGATCATTTTCGTAATTTTTGATGGAGGTAGTGATCAACTGTGTTGACTAAAAAATTACCAATTCGGTACCTGGTATTTTGAAAACTGACAGAATATTATTTTGGCCATAACTTGTTCGTCTGACGTCCAAACGAGAAACCGTCAGCGCCTATGGAATTGTGGGAACAAGGAGATTTTAATGGGAGCAAGTTGTGAAATTCTCAGAGTAGAATCAGAGTCGGTTTCGAAGGATTCGAGGTGAGTGAAAAGGGGGTAAATTCTACGCCTTACGATTATTTTTTTGAAGTAAGTGCTTTGAGTATTTTCAAGTATTGATTTACGTGATGTATGTGCAGTATTTGATTCATGTTTGAGACTGCATGATTATGTTTGATGATATGTACTTTGGTTGAGCTATGATTTGAAGTGAATTGTGGATGAGTTTATTTCTTACTTGAAGCTTTACGTTTATGAGTTATTGTTAAAGCTTAAGAACAAGTCCTTTTTAAGAAGTACTTCACATTCGAAGAAGGTGAAACCATTTTAAGAATTTTTAGTCACTAGCGCCAGTCCGTTGCCATTGGAGATTTTAAGATAGAGCAACAGTTATGCTCTTGAGACCTTTGAGATAGAGCAACAGTTATGCTCTTGAGACTTTTAAGATGAGCAGCAGTTATGCTCTTGAGAATCATGGTGAAGAGCCACCACGATAAGTTTAAGATGTTAGGGGGATGAATCGTTACGACTCCTCTGACTAAGTTTAAGTTTAAGGAAAGCCTAGATGGCTTCTTATACGTATGAGTTGGGCAACTGGACTAGCTAGTGAGGGATCCCCGTGTCAGTCAAAAGTTTAAGTCAAGATTTGAGCTTTTATAAGGGGGAGTAGATTTAGCTCCCAAACATTTTTAAAAGAGTTAAGATATTTAAGATCGGAAGTACAAACAACTTCCACCGGTTAAAGTTAAGTGTTTAAGTAAAGAACTCAAGTATTAGAGGTTTTAAAACGTAAGGGCGTAGACTGACCCCATCTCACTCACCCCGCCTTCGTAAAGGAATGAGCGAGAACCAGCTCGATAACAGCTAGTGAGAGGAGCAGTTAGAAAGCAGCGAGATCGAGAGAACGGTTTGGGGCAAGCCAGCTAGAGGAGGACGACTCGCACGTCACGGAGGGTGCCTAGTCAAGGTTTTCAATAAGCGGCAACATTAGAGACTTTTTAGTTATTTCATTTTTATGATTATGAGTATAGACTGGAGATTCATATTAAGATTTTATGATTGAGGTTCGCCCAAGTGTTAGTGCTTTGTTTTAAGAAATTACAGTTTATTCTCGGTATTTGTTAAAGTAAAAGTTATTTATTAAAAGTTTCAGCTATTTCCCCATGCATTTTCAGTTATTATTTGTTTCATGGTTTATAAAAGGGTATTTTGGTAAAAGTAGTACCCGGCTGGGTTAGGGTGTTTTAGACAAGCAAACATCCAAGTACGGGGGAGTTATTTGGGTCTAATTGCACATGTTTTCTTCCCATGTTCTTGAAGTGTTTTAGGCGTTTACGTCGCTTGAAGTTCGACTTTACGCTAGTTTGTGCAAGTTTCCAGTATGTTTCAGGTTCTAGCAGGTGATATTGGCCTTGGGAGCGAAATTTGAACGAAAGAGGGCGAAAGCAAATCAAAATGAGCAAAAAGGAGAAGATCACGGTTCAAGCAACATTATCACAGTTAGTCGATCGTGAATATGGAGACCAGACCATGATGTTCGAGGAAACCAAAAGAGTTTTTAGGCCTCGCGGGCCTAAACGATATTACGGTCACTAGACCGTGATAATCCAACCCCGAATGTGAAGACCTTAAATGCAACCGTGCGCTTTTACCCGCGATCACGGTCCGAGCATAAAGATCACAGTTGTGATATTTGACCGTGATGTGTGCACGATCTGGATATAAAAGGAGGATGGAGCTGAAACTTGAAGGGGAGAGCCTAGTGAGATATTGTATTCTTCTTCTTCTTCTTCTTCTTCTTCTTCTTCTTCTTCTTCTTCTGCAGATTTTAGAGATATAAACCGATGAACCTAGATAGAAGAAGAAGTGTAGGGTTTGCTTCAACCTTGAGGATTGAGGATTTTCATCTTCCAATGGTGATTTCTACAACAAGGAAGGAAGGCATACACCACACCATGGTTCTTCCTCTTCTCTTTGTTGTAATCACTAGTTTAGCTGTAGAGTAGTACTCTTTTTCACTTGGGTATTGTAAACCCTAGATTTATATATGTGATAGATTGTATGAAATGAATGCTATGTATGTGGGTTTGTGTTTAATGCAAAGTTTGAAGTATTTTAAGAATTCTTGAGTTGTGTTCTTCATTTCTCACTGCCTAAGCATTTAGGGGCAATCCTCAAGTTTCGATTTAACACTTGGATTTGGTTGTATTTTGCCGGCTGGATTAAGTTCCGAGTGAGTAGCCTTAGCAACCCTTGGTTGAGTGGCCAAAAGAGATAGTTCGCTAGCTTCATTTGTTGTTCCTTGGCCTATCACCCAAGAGAGTAAAGTTTTCTTCACTAGTTGTGCCCTCCTTATGGTGAACGAACACATTCCTACAAATTTGCATTCTATTCTGCCGATCTTGATATATAGCTAGGGGGAACAATACTCGTCTGAAGCTTTCTCATATAGATTCTAAAACCATTTACTTTCTTGCTTGTTTTAAATTGTAGTCCTTAGTTTTCACTCAAAACCGATGGCTAGATAACGTTTTAAACGGTTGAAGTAATAGTACATGGACCAGCCCGAATTAGCATTTTTAAAACGCTTGCCATATACTGCACCCTACTGGAGTTTATACCTAGACTCTAGTCGTGATTTTATTGTGGTAGTTGGAGTGAGCCAGAAACGATCTAGTGAATCGCATCAGAGGCCAACGATTAATTCTCAACACATGGCGGCTCTTTCCTGCGAGCAATATATAGTTCACTTCTCTCTGCGACTAACAAAGCTAGCTAATCTCAAAGTGTCGTCGTGAGCAACATCTCTATTTGCTGGACTCTAAAGCGAACCAGATCAAACTTTAATATTTTGGAAAATTTTAATGCAAGTGTGATATTGTGATAATTGTTTTAGTAACTCTATTATTTTGAGAAAAATACTATTGATTAGAACAGGTGTGTAAGGATTTTGTAGGAGTGACTCTTATTAATTATTTTGGAAATGAAGGTGTCTACACTTGTATATCATTCACCAAAGCAAACGAAAGAGTTAGTGATTGCCAATTGGGATGTGAGAAAAGAAATGGCTAGGTAGGGCAGGGAATGCAGGGAAGTGGGGGACAAACAAACCATAAAGGACTGACTATACGTACCCCATGCTTTCCCAAACTGGGATACTCTAACATGCCACTTTCCACGGGAGTCAGCTGTGTTGTTAGTGCAATTTTGGGCAACTACAATTAACACTGACCAAAATTTGACGGTGATGGGAGGCTCCGATTCAAAGAACATCACACCCTCAGACCTAACCCTTCCAACTTGAGTTGTTGAGAGATGTTTCAATTATGAATCATATACCATTTACTAACACCCCCCTTTCAAACTCAAGTCATTTAGATAGGCTTAGAGTCTGGACAGACACAGGTCCGGACACCGTGTGGTTAACAGAAGTATATGGGGGTCACTGAGAATCGAACAGAAGACATCACGGTCACAAAAGGCTCTGATACCATGCCAAGAACCAGTTGATTCCAATAACTCAAGTTGTTGGGAGAGATTCAATTATGTATCATATACCATTTACTAACAATTTATAAACATATAATTGTCATTATCTAAACCTGAACTAGAAGATCAATTTAATAAAGAATACTAATCGACGACTCTGATTTGTCAAAGGTCAACGAAGTACATAGTCCAAGAGTCAGATGACTTGGAGCATGGTATACTCCAACGGTACAACAGTCAACAGTCGTTATATATGGTAATAACTATCGTTAGACATGCGGTTCGTTGCATTAGAATATTCGATTATTCATCTTATTAAATTGATCTTCAAGTTTTAGTTTAGAGGATCATCTATTGAAGGTTAGTGTATACATATCATACGGCCAAAATCGATTTAATTTAGGGTTATAGGTATAATATGCCCCTTTACTATGACGTTTTATCAAACATGCCCCTCTACTATTTTTTACATCAAATATGCCCCTGTACTTTGAAAAAATTATCAAATTTGCCCTTCTGTTAAAATTTTGATTGAAAAAATCGTCAATCATGGTTGAATTGAGATTTAGACGATCTGACATCGACAAATGGGAGGGAAAATGTCAATTTTGTCCCCTGTTTTATTTCCCTGGGTCTTTTCAAAGTGAAATTATTTGAATGATTTGATTATACAAAAGAACCAAAAAAAATTCTAAAGTGAATTTATTAGGGATATTTTAGTCATTTGTGTCGCCCAAACTATAATTCAGCATTGGTTAACGGTTTTTAGATGAAAATTTTAACAAAAGAGCATGTTTGATCATTTTTACAAAGTACAGAGACAAGTTTGATGTAAAAAATAGTAGAGGGGCATGTTTGATAAAACATCATAGTAGAGGGGCATATTATACCTATAACCCTTTAATTTATGGTCTAGATGAAGATATTTCAATACAGACTATAGTATACTATCCAAGAATACATAAGCCATATATATTTACCTCTCAGAAACCTAATTTCTATCTTCTATTGTAACGTTTCGTCATAAATTAGCTAAACCACCCTCAAGTAACGCAGTTTCATCTAAAAAAGTGCAATTACGGTACCAGTCAACTAACAATTGTATTGAAGTGATAACAATAAACCTTGAAATACGCAAACACCAATTAAGCTCCCGTTCGAGACCAGCAACCCCACATATATAAAAGTACATTTTTGGTGGAAAGCACGTACTTTAAGTTACCTTCTATCACTACCTGCTGTACCTGCGTTTCCGCCGGGCTGATGGCGTTCCCTTTGTGCTTCTCCTCTCCTCCCCTGTCTCCTAAACATCATCATGATGAACTGATGATGCCATTTCAAAAGGCGCCAAGAAGATCATTCATTTCGTCTCCAAAGGTCATCACTACTTGTCAACCAAAATTGAGCAGCAGCAGCAGCCTCTACTTTTATCAGAAAAGCTCATCCTCCAGATCTGCATCCGCCTCCTCATGTACGTACGCCGCCAGCGCCAGCACGGTGTTCAGCTTGGCAACAACAGCAGTTCTCCCATTTTACGTGCTCATGCTTCTCGCTCCGAAATCAAACATCGTATGATAACATAATGTTTTGAAATTGTTGCCTTTTCTCATTATATAGCTGGTTACAACGCGACAGCTTGCTACAGATATAAAATCCAAAATTTTCGTTCATTCAATGAATCTGCAGACAAGGAAGTGCATGGGAAGTATGATACCGTACACAGCGCTGGGGCTTGTGTACGGATATGTGGTGTACCTGTCTTGGACGCCGGATACCTTGCACCTGATGTTTGGAAGCAAATACATGGTGCCTCAGGTTTGTGCTGCATGCTATGCTACATAAATCAAAATCACAACAGTGGTCGGTTTCCAAGGAGCTGTTACTGAAATGATTTTGACATTTGAAATCCATCAGCGTGTTGGGAAGAATTCCCAGAATACAGCAAAAATTATACATAATTCTCTGAATACATAAGTTTTATAAAATTTTCCCAAACTACCCAAGTTTCAAAGGGTTCGAGTTTATGGGACTCGAACTACTCACCAGTTCGACGATAAGAAACTCGAACTAAAAGCGGATCGACTTTTAAACACTCGATCAACAGTGGTTCGACTTTAGAAGACTCGAACAACTATGATCGATCACAAGGGACTCGATCTAGGTAGCTCGAGTATGGAAAACTCGATCAAGTAAGATCGACTTCTAAAACCTCGATGTATTGCAACGACTTTAAATCACTCGATCTTAGTCTGGACTAGATCGAGGCCTTAAGACTCGAACTACTGGCCCACAGACATGCTTCAGGATAGGGTTGCAGGGATAAGATTTTTGTTGTCATAGATCGAGTTTTAGGGACTCGAACTAGTGTAGTTCGATTACACTAAACTCGAACTACTTACTCAATCATTCTGTCCAGTCGCTTTCTATCCGACATGCGCCAGAATAGGGCGCAGGGGGGGGGGGGAATTATTGGTCGACATAAATCGAGTTTAATGAACTCGAACTAGTGTAGTTCGAGTGTATTGGACTCGACCCACTCCATCAGTTTACGATAAATAAAAGCCATCACTTAGCACTTTCTGGCAGCACTCTTCCTTTCTATCTTCTTTCTTCCAAACACAAACTGGAGAAGGTTGTTGTCCATCTCCATCCCCACAAACTTTCGCACCCTCAGCAATCGCGCTCTTTCAATGAAGGGCTCGATACGATCATCCCATTTAGGCAAGCGAGATAGCGACCGATGGGTGATTACGTCAAGTTGTTCCTGTAGAAAAAAAAACATTAATTATTATACAAAAAAATTAGAAGAATACTATCACATTAAAAAAAAGTACATGAGGAAGTGCCTACCGGATCTGCCGCCCAAACACTTTCAGACCGATGGTAAGGTTGCTCATCCAACAAATCGGTTTCTCGCGGTCCACCTTGAATGTATAATCTAGGATCGTAAATACTCGGATCCATCTCGACAATTTTGAGTGATAGAAGTACCAAACTAAAGAAAAAAAATTTGATGCGGAAGATCGGGCTTAGCCGCAACCACAGAGCATATTTTTTTCTTCAAGAGTGGTGGGAGGAAGAGAGGAAGAAGAATGGAGTGGTGTGAGTTTTGGTGGAATATGAGGGGGGTATTTATAGGTTCTGTGGGAGAGTGGATCGAGTTTACAAAACTCGAACTAGTGCATCGATTTTTGGGCACTCGATCCGCGTCAAAAGCAGATCGTGGTTAGGCGCATCGAACGAACCAGATCGAGCTTAGGGTAATCGATCAACGGTTGATCGAGCCTGACTTCAGCGATCCGCGTCAAGTTGATCGATTAAATGAAAATCGATCCACTGCATCGAGTTTCACGCACTCGATCCGCGTCATCCCTGCTTCGCGGGTTTGACACTCGAACGGCCTAGATCGAGTTTAGACCACTCGATCAACGGTGGGGCGCGCCTGACGTCATCGATCCGCGTCAACTGGATCGATTAGAGCTGACTCGATCCACTTACCTCGAGTTTACCGCACTCGATCCGGGTCATCACTGCTTCGCTGGGTGAGCAATCGAACGACCCTGATCGCGTCCTAGTACATCGATCAATGGTGGAGCGCTGCCCAGCTCATCGATCCACTTCATGTGGTTCGAGTGTGCCATCCTCGATTCACCTGGATCGTGTTTTTGGCAGTCGATCCGGTTCTAGTTCGAGTTTTGTGAACTCGAACTGTGTCAAACTTTGGTAGTTTGGAAATTTTTTTTAAAAGTTCGGTATTCTGGGAATTTTTTTTAATTATTACTGTATTTTGGGAATTAATCCCAGCTTGTTGGAGTAACGAAGATGTTTGCCAGCGACATGAGGCTGACTTCGGCGTGGATTCATATGGTGGCGGTTGACCTCTTCGCGGCCAGGTAGTCATCGTTTCATTGGGATAGATACAACAACAGTTGGTTTCCAACGCACTATATGTATAATGTTGAGTGGCGGATCCAGAAACTTTTTATAGGGATGTCCTCGTCCAAAAATTAAATTTAAATAAAAATAAATAATTTAATTAAATAATTAATAAATAAGAAAGTATTCAACTAGTACAAATCTTTAAAAAAAATCACGACGTATTTTCAAATTATAAAAAAATAGACTCGGTGTCTACACTGCTCAACAAATCTGTATATCATACTAGAAAAATTCACGAACTGATCGCATATTTGATTTCTAACCTTGTTTTTTTTATGTAACTCAAAGTTGAAAAGACTCTTTCAACACTTCTCGTGTAACCACGAAATTAAATCAAATTAAGAGTAACACGTAATTAGTTTAATTGTTAGGTTTTCGAAATAGTTTAGGATAAGGAATAATTTTTACTATTACATAGTGTTTAAAAAGGAACAACAAATGAGTTGCAACCTAGTGGAGAATACGTTTAATAATAGTAGTGTCCTAGTTTTGAATAACACAGACTACCACTTATGTTTTTTAATCATATGCAAACTACATGGATATGATAATCGTTTTTTCAAATTTTAGTGGTGTCCCAGATTACTAATTATATTTTCTTTTATTCATACAAAACTAATACCGGGGGTTGAATAATCGTTATCCTAAATTTTAGGGGTTCCGGTCCCATGTATCCGCCCCTAACCGTTATAACCGAGCTGCTACGGATTGGGAACTCGCTGGAATCGAGAAAGTAAGAATACGAAAACAGAAAGCACACGCGATACACGCCGATTTACGTGGTTCACTAACACAATATGTGTTAACTAGTCCACGGGCGGGCAGGAGAGCCAGTTTCACTATATCGAGGAGATTACAAAGGAGATGAGATGCAAAGTATTTATACTTCTCTATGTGGGTCTAAACCTAATCCAATATGTTAAAGAAAACGGTTACAGACCAATTTGCGAGACTCCCGTGACTTCCAGTCGTAGCGGCTGATAGTCCGATTCAAATTATATTAATAATACTGGCCTGAAGAAATAAATGTTTGATATCATGTATACGCAGGCAGGTGTATAAGGCCAAGTCCAATGCAAAACCCCAAATTTGGGGGTCTTCATCTCCAAATTTGGGGATTGATCTCCATTTTCCCTTCTTTTGCTCCAATGCTTCAATCTCCATATTTGGGGATTTTCATTTTTCTAGTTTTTCCATTTACTTAAAAATGTACTTATCGTAGCCTTAATATAATTTATTCATGTTAATTTTTGTATAGTTCATCATCATTTTTAAATATAAATTTTTTGATAGAATTTTGTTAAATTCCGAGTCCGAATTTTTTTGGCAAAAAATTATGTACCTAATTTGGGTTTATACACAACACTTGAAAATGATTGATTTAATTAAATCCCTAACTAATCCCCTAATTAAACTCTCAATTAACCCCTAAAGTCTTAAAAAGAAAAAGAAAAGCAACGTGACGGGCTTTGGTGAGCCTCTATATTTGGGGGATCCCCCATTTCCACCCCCAAATTTGGAGTTCCATTTGCAGGATCCTCCATTTTTGGAGATCCAAACCTCCCCATTGGACCATCTCCTCCTCCATTTTTGCAAATTCTCCCATAAATGGGGTGCCCATTGGACTCAGCTAAGGATGGGCTGGAAAACGGGGTGGAGACGCGACACTCGGTTGCGCTGTGCCTGCTTGCCTGTCCGCTGGGAATTCTCACTCACCTCATCACCAAGATCTTTACTGCCCGGAGTCCACATCAGCAACCACCAACCTAGTTAAAACACTACTCTTTTGTATTGCCCGTGTCCTGTTAATGTAGCTATAACTAGTTTACTTTTTTTCTGTTTGTTGAATAGATAAATTTCACTATATTTGGTTTGGGTGAGACCCATCTCCTGGTTACATTTCATAAGCAACAATAACACTTGTTCGAAGTAACATGCATATTTATTTGGTACTACTAAAAAAGAGAACCCAAATTGTTCCATTATTGGAAAACTCGACAAAGGAACATACATCATAATATGTTTACGACATCCATGTCGATCGATTCATCAACAATATATAGTTGTCACGGAGCGTAAAAACAAAATGTATGCAAGGGAACATACTTCACACGTGGCTGAGTCCGAGAAGGATAATGATGTCGAGGCTAGGAAGACAGTGTTGACAACACCACACGTGGCTGAGTACAAGCCTCCCCTTAATTTTTCACAAGGATGTACAAAGACCAACTTGAAGTCTAGTTCGGCAAGTTCATGGATGTCCTCAACAAGTTGAACGTGACTGTACTATTCTTGTATGCTTTAGCTCAAATGCCAAAGTATGTCAAGTTCATGAAGGAGATGCTTTGGCAGGGAGTGCTCGACCATCCTCCAAAAAAAGCTTTCTCAGAAACAACAAATCCAGGTAGCTTCACTATACCTTGCTAAATAGGATCATTGCATTTAGAGAAGTCATTGGCGAACTTAAGGGTAAGCATCATATAAGGTTTATATGAAGCTAGGCCCAGGTGAACTAAAGAGTACCAAAATGAATGAGCCTCCTGCTGATAGATCGGTAGTTCTGCGTAGGGGAATAGTAGAGGAAATTCCAATACAAGTGGGGAAGTTCTACTTCCCTACGGACTTCGTAATTCTTACTAACCTAATGATCTCCTGCGCAAGCAGATGAGCTCCGATACAATGTTCTTTGATATCAAGAAGGATATCGAGGTCCCATTATAGTAAGACGCCATTCTCTAGCCACCGCCAATGCTTTGGTCAATGTAGATGATGGTACACTAATATTGAGAGCCACTTATGAGCGTATCACCTTCTCTATTGCTCAAAATATTGATTATATAACACTGAATGAAAGCTTTGACACTGAAAATGTGAAGGAAAGACCTAAGCCCTTGAAGGGCATGTTCACCTTGAATAATTCTGTGACCCATGAGGTGGACATATCTTGCTTGTTTGCTTCATTTGACATGGTGAATGTTGAGGCTCATCCCATGGTGGCAATAGGTAAGACCACACAAGAGTGGAGACTGAAGTTATTGAGCTCTAAGATGGCCCATGGAAGGGCGAGAGGAAAGGAGAAGGAAGAATTGCCAAAAGATGGCCACTTAAAAGGTAATAAAGGGATGACATGCCCTAGGAGTGTGGTGAAATCCACCAATTGTGTCTAGTTAAAGATATAAAAAATAGAGCTTGTTGGGAGGCAACATAATGTAGGTTTGTGTTTCTTTTTCTTATTTTCCTTTTTTTTGTGTGTTAAATTCAATCTTTCACCTTCATTTGGTCATTAGATGTGTTGTGTTCGAGTTTCGACCACGCACAAGTCAATCAGGTTCAAAAATTAACAAAGTCATGAGACTGTGAAGAGTTGACAGTTTTAATGCAATGTTCACGGTCTCTTGGCCGTGACATTTGCACTAACCTACGAGATGCATAGAAGTTTTTGGGTTGATAACAAACCTCACGACTTGAATATGATTGTCACTGCCTCAGCTCGTAACATTTTACATAGCCTTGAAGTTGATTGACCCAACACTCATCATTTTGTGTAGGAATCACGGTTTAGTGTTGATCTCACGGTCTGGCCACGACTTTTGCACTGAAACCATGAGGTTTCTCATTGGACAAGGACAAAAATGACTAAATGAGCATGAACTCCCCAACCAACCGTGAACATCGCCCAGACCGCCGGAATCCTTTGTTCTTCGCCGGAAAACATCACCACCTACGGGCTACGGAGATGGCCCAAAAATATCTAATAAATTCAATATAAAGGAGCATTATAGTGGGCCAGCAAGTAGCCGTAGGGCTGTGACCTAAGTGGTAATGGGCCTTCGCCATCTTCGCCAACTATACTAACACCAAAGTAAACCAAAGGAGCATGTGCATTGTGCAGTGCATTGTACTGAAAGCTTGGTACCGGTATTTGGGATATACCGAATACCGTATCGAATTTGTCTATATTTGGTATTACTGAATACACGTATTATTTTTTGGGATTGGAATTGAATTTCAATTATTATTCGGTATTAGAGATTACGGGATTGGGATCCGTATATACCGAAATACCGATCAATACCGAAATATAAGCTAGTGTGTATTTTATCTTATCAACTAGACTCTCTCATTCACTACTGCATGACCATCGACCACCAAGAGTGTCATTTAATTATGCACAGATCATTCCATCATTATTAATAGTCGTCTCTCAACCTCCAATTCGTCAAATTAAAGATTACCAATGACAAGAACTTGAGATGTCTCCCCTCCTCCATTCTCCTTAATAATATCCTAATTCAAGACTCTTTGCTTAATAATTTCCCCCTAAATTAAAAAATAATATCTAATTTATATATTTCATTATTATTGCAAAGGTGATTAATTTCGTATTCGATAATACCGATTGGGATACCGAAGTACCGATTGGAATACTGAAATATTTAGGGATTGGGATTGTGATTCCGAAATTATTTAGGGATTGGAATTGGGATGGACTTTATGGTGTAATTCGGTATTCGGAATTTCGATATTTGGTATTGGAATACCGATATCGTACCGATTTCCACCCTACTTAGCAGCAGCACGCCGTATACGAAGCGTTTCAAGCGTCATGCTCCTTTGCACTTGTCTGAAATTAAAGAAGAAGCGGTTAGCAATAGCATGCAACTTGCAAGTGGGTAGTACTTGGGCAGCGGGCCTCCACCATCAAGATCAGGGAATAGGTTACGGCAGCAACAGCTTTTATTCCGGAGATGGATAAAATTGATGGCTGCTTTCCTCAGGGGTCGGTCATGTCTTCCTCTTCTTCCCCCAAAGTTGCGCCATTTCCTTGTTTCGGTTCGAGTGAGTGGCCAACGCAAAACCGTGCCCATCATCCGCACTTCCTTTCTATTCAATTATTCAGCCCTTTCTTTCTCCACCACCACCACCATCATCATCTTTATTTGTTTACCTTTTTCCACCTTCCTTTCCTTCCTCAGCACTTGCCTCCCTGTCTCTCCAAATTAGTGGCAACTCAGCTTACCATCACCTCACCTTCCCCCAACCCATTACTTCTTTTTCCTTTTTTTTTTCTTCTGCATTTCCATTTCGTGTACTCATATTTACTCTCTTGTTTGTGGTGTTATTATTATACTCAGGGTAATGAAGATTGCTTCATTCTATTGTTGCTGCTGGGTTTCTTTGGCTTCCACCAATAATGGCATTCTCTGCTCGCTTTTCTCTCCCTCCTCCAATCCCTCGCAAGGTTCTGTGGCCCCTTTTCTTTTGTTTTGCCTTCAAGCTCCAATCTTTTCCCTATTTGCTCTTTTGGGTTTGATCTTCTGTGTGTGTTTAGCCACCTATCTCAGTACTCTTTTTACTTTTCGTTTAATGATTTAATTAATGTGGGTGCCAACTATTGTTCACCATTGAAATTGAGAACTAGTTGGGTTCTCAACGCAATTCAATCATCTTGTTGGTGGTTGTAGCTTAATTTGGTGTTTGGATGTTGCAGTGATTTTGCTAATTTCTACCCTTCAAATTGGGCCATGGCACTTCTTTGAGCTACAAACTCACCTACTTGATTATCCACATTTTTTGGCCTTGTTTGTCATTTTCACGAATGGTTGCAGGTTTAAGTGCAATCAATTCAGTCTGCTAATTTTTTTCCCCCTGAAAAATTAATCTAGTTGCTCTCTTTTCTATGCTAGTCTTATTAATTACTTCAAGTTGAGAGTGACAACAAGGTAAAGGACCATATTTATGCGCTCAGCTGGGTTCCCTTCCCTCTCATGTTCGTTTCACAAACTTGTGTAGATTGATTGCTCGAAGCAACAGGCTGTGAGATTGACTTCTCTCAGGGCACTTCACAAACCAAACGCACTGTCATCTTCACTCAACAGTAAGGACACTGAACTTTTCGGCCAGAGGCTTGCAAGTGTTGGAGGCAACATAATTAGGAACTGGACTTTTGTGGGCGGTTCAAGAATCGCCGTTCAACCAAAGCTAGTCAGACTCTTTGTTTCCCAGAAAAGCTCGTCCACAGTATATGCCTCGTGTAATTCCCTTGCTCCCACGTTGCACTCACTCGTCAAATTGCTTCTTACTAACTGCATCATGTCCTTGTATTAATTTGTATAACTTACATATAATGTACTTATTGGTTGGTATCACAGGGTGGACAAATTCTCAGATTGCAAACAATGTGTTTACATTGGGAACGGCTGCTGTTCTCCCATTCTACACCCTTATGGTTGTAGCACCAAGAGCACAACTAGTATGCCCTCAATTCTCTTTCTGGTCTCCTATTTCTCATGCTTTCTGGGATGTGAAGTTGATGGAAATGGGTAATTGTGGGGAATGCAGACGAGGAAGTCCGTCGAAAGTAGCATACCTTACGTAGTGCTGGGGCTTCTTTATGCTTATCTACTGTACCTTTCATGGACACCTGATACTCTGCAGCTGATGTTTGCCAGTAAATACTGGCTACCTGAGGTCCGTATATTATGATCACTAGGAATGTTTCAAGCAAAAGAAGGAAAGAATCCTAGCAGTTATCTCTCTAAAGTTTTGATCTTGTTTCTGAACTCTTTTCAGCTGCCCGGTATAGCAAAGATGTTCTCCAACGAGATGACATTAGCTTCAGCCTGGATTCATCTTCTCGCAGTGGACCTCTTTGCTGCCAGGTTACCACTTCCGCTTTCTGTTCTTTCTATTCCCCTTTGCTGCGTGTCTTACTCACAGGGAGTAATGAGGATCATAATTCATGAAAAGAGGATCAACAAATGAATTTATATATGAATGCAGGCAGGTGTATAATGATGGAGTGCAGAATGGAATCGAGACCCGGCACTCAGTTTCACTCTGCCTGCTCTTCTGTCCCGTGGGGATCCTGACTCACTTCGCCACTAAAGCACTAACCAAGGGTGCTGCAGAGTAGTACAAAATGCTAACTGCTAGCTATTTGTTCGTTGCTGCATTAGAAAGCAGTCTGTTTTGTTTTGTGTTGCAACGACAGCTCCTTTGTTTGAGTGATGTTATATGTTGCGTTTGCCAGTTTGAATGAAAATTTGGTTTCAAGATCTTATGATTTATGTAGCGTTTGCATCTGTTCTTTGGCTGTACTTAACACTGGAGATGGTCAACGTTAAAACGAAGAAAAAAAAACCGAAAAACAGAACTTAACAAAAACGCCGTTGCCGGGGATCGAACCCGGGTCACCCGGGTGACAGGCGGGAATACTTACCACTATACTACAACGACCAGTTGATCATATGTGCTTTAAATTTTTTAATTTACATAAAAACGTAAGGCAATGCTGACCCTGAGAATACTAAACCAGTATTTATCTCTCAAATTAAATTTCAAGAATAGCTAAAATTTGATTTGTGTATATTATTTTACAACGCGAAAAGGTATTGGATTGTTAAACCTAGTTCTGTTTTACTAAAAGTTTCATCCAAGGCAGCATGAGACAGATGAGCTTCTCAAGTTTAAAGTTTAAACACAGATGAGCCAGCAAAGTTGGTGTACTACACAAGGGTCATCAATAGTACAGCTACTTTCAAGGCTTTAGCTTCCTTCAAACTCAGATTTACATGAGCTATATACAAGCTTTTAACTCTGTTTAAGGAACAATCAGATGTGGGTTAGCAAAACGTTTTGGTTTCTGATTCTAACCTAACTCCTTCCTTCCTTTCTGGTCATTTGCCCCCTGCCCCCGAGATTCAGCAAAAAAGTATCTCTCAACTCCCAATTATGTGAAATGCTTGCTCATGGTGATTCTGTTCTTCTCTAAGGCGACTACTTGGAAGTTGAGTTTTCAAGTTGGGAGAGGAGACTTCATGTCCTCGAACATTTCTTCTGACGGATCAAAGTGTTCAGTTCCCTTCTTACTACGCTCCAAAGCTGTTGCCTCGTAGATCCCTTCACCAAACAGAAAAGATAAGAGAATCATAAACCTTAGTTCAGCCAAAATACCCTGCACACGTCATTTTAGCAATCACACAAACATGCTTGTTTTTCATTTTGTTTTTTGCTAGTAAGTTGAAAGTGCTACTATGGATTCGTTGTTATTAAGGAAACTAAGAATTCTTTTACTTCTACAATACCCCGAGTAACCAGCCAGCCCTATAAAGCAACGATGGAGATACATCCAGATTCAAAACAGTTTTGAGGAATTTTGCAACAATCAACTTCGTAAATACCATATTACCTACCTAACAAGATTCAAGCTCTGATTCTAAACAAGGATTCTTATAATGATGATCGAACATTGCATATGGGTGCGAAGTTGTTCAGCAAGCTTTCTTGTTCTATTGTCAATCTTTGCTCTAATCTACTACTTTACACTTCACGCTAGAGAGATCCTCCTACCAAAAAAGAGAGGAGAATAATAATCAGCATACTTACCGAAACCCAGAATTAAGCAGCAGATTAAGAAGCCGGGCAGAGAGAAGTCCATCTGATAGAAAATCTCCAGGATAATCATACAACCTCCGGCCACCATTAAGTGCCTTGGAGAAGAGAAAACCATATGCAGCCTGCAAACATACACTTCTTCTTTATCATTCTGAAATAAATGATCCACTAATATAGCCATCTTGAGATACTTCTCCGGTGGAAAAGCCTTTACACAAAATGAGAATGGAAAACATAAGAAGTAATATACTCCGAGAGGTAGTAAATAAATCCAAGAGTAACATAAAAAGCCCTGACCAGCTTATATGATAAGAGTAGCTAGTGTGGATGGCGGACATAATCACTATACATGATGATGGATTCAGAGAAGAGAACATGAGGAAAAAAAGGAACCTAGTAATTATGACAAATGATACACTACCTTTCTTCTGCTATGCTGTCAACGTAGAATATCAAGATAACTCCAAAAAGAATAAAGCTCCCGAATGCCCAAGCCGAAAATGGAAGTTGACTTGTATTATCAGAAGTTGATCCCTGTAATACTCCAGTTATAAGAACACAACCAGTGAGAACTCACTAGCAATCCTTCCATTTAGAGACCAAAATGAAGTAAACTGCCCGAAATTCAAAAGAAAAGCTGGTGTCTGTCTGACCATGGTGCTAGTAATATGCTTTTTCACGATTAAGAGTTTCTAAATCCGTGTATCACACTTACTGTGATGAAGTCCCACATAGCCACAGGAAAAAGGAAACATGTTGCAGAGGTTATGGTTACAGCATGCAACCTTCTTTTCAGTTGATTCTGAAAATAAATAATCAGTGAAGTAAGCAACGGCGTTCATTTATCAAGCAAATCAGTATCAATAGCAGAGCCAACGACAAGAAAGGAGATGAAGAGACACCTTGAGTGAAACACGTCGTGCAATCACCCTTCTTAAAGCTGATAAGATTCCAGCAATAATTGGAACTATCATGTCTTTCATACCCAAGATTTCTTCCGGATGAGCTTCTGTATCAAGGTTTTCTTTGGATCGTAAGTTTAAGTGAAGGCAACAATACATTTCCTCACAAGAAGCACTTGCAGGAAATCCTTACCATGAAAGAATGACCCAAAGGAATAGGAGAAGTAATGCGGATATTTATCAAATCTAACAAACATAAACCCACTAGAAACTAGGAACTGAGTGGCAAAGGATATCAAAAGGTGAATATGTGGCCATGGCCCACCCTCGGGACAGCAAGTAGAAAGACAGCATCATTGCAACAAGTCCTCCAACCTAGTACACAGAAAAAGGAAGTATTACAGTCACATACAATCTTCTGACTTATTTATCTATGCAGACGATCATAAGTGAAAACCCATGTCATTCCACAAAAATACTGTTACAGATATATCTGCAAGAAAAAAGGAACAATGACAACAAATTAATTGAATCCTGCTTGATATTCAATGACATCTACATATGAGTATTCAACAAAATCATTCGGTAGTAAAGGAATAAAATGTGCTCCCTATCAGCTTCAGTGTAACGCATTCAAAAAGTTTCATAAAGCAAGAAATTCTAGATGACATTTAGTACAGATTAAATTGATTGGCAGTGCACTTATTTCCTATTCTGCTTTATAAACAGACATGAAGTTAGCCCATCTTCTCAGTCAACCTAGTGATTAGGTGATGGAAAACAAGATCCTACCAGCAAAACTCACATGACCAAGAAAGTACCGAGGAAAATGTTATGTACAATAACAAATTTATGATGTATATCAGCTACTCTATGATATCTCAGCAACGAATAGTGAATTCCTATATTTTTTTACTTTTAATTCCATATCTTTTGCTTCCTAATCCCAGTTCACTATCACCGCATCCCCACCCCACCCCAAATATTCATCATTAGCAAAGCATGAGTAGAAATAATAGCCAAATTTTAATTCTCTTTTCCAGTCTGACACTCTACTAAAACATGAAAGCCATTCACAAAGGCACTCCAGTGAATACAATGAAATGATTCACTAGAAGCAATGTAAGAAAGAAAAGACTATGAGGTAGAAAAATAACGATTTTCAGCATAAAAAATCAGATCTGCAGTTCCAAGTCATAATCCAGTTATCTCTATAACTGGATTTACCATAAGTGATCTTGGAAGGAAAAGGTGAGACTAACTGAAATATTTTGAACTAGTATGAAAGCAGAACCAAATGGCATAGTAGAAACAAATCCACTCTTCTTTGCCCAAGAGGAACAGACTGATTTACAAATCCACTCAACAACACCTATAAAGCCTTTTCTATTGAGTTACATCAAATGCATTTTTAAACTCCTAACCCAAGAACACCAGGGTAAAGAGAAGTACCTTTTTCCATAAATGTTTACCCTGTCCATACAATGCTGCTGATAATACACCAAGAACAGCACCTGCATACTCTGCCAAGATGGTTCTAGAAACCAAAACCAAGATTTAGTTGGTTCTAAAGCTCCCTAAGGTTCTAAACCGGAAAAGCAGTTGATAATTCTAAAGACACAATCAAAATGTTTGAGATGCAAAAACCTACCGCACTGGGCCACATGACTTGAGGCCCTTCCCCCACATACTGAAATACAAAGCTGTTATGACACCATTGATGATAGAAGGCACAACCTGGAAAATGTAGCAAATACCAGATTAGATAACAAACAACTTTCAAATATTTTAAGTTTGATTAAAAATATATTGGTTTCATCCTAACCTGTTGACTAGAGAGAGGCCTTCCCTTCCAAGGCCTTTGCATAGCCAGAAACAACAATGATGACGGTAGAAGGCAGCAAAATATGAAAAGACCCACAGATGCTCCAGTCTGAGTCAAATAGCGGTACATGGAGTACACCGACCATATTCTAAAAAAGTTGCCAATTACATGTATTATCTGCAAGGGAGTGTGCCTACAGCAGAGCGAGTGGGGTAAAAAAAAAGATGGAAGGTTGTGTTACAAGAAACTTATTTAAGTTCAAGATTAAAGTCCAAACTGTAAGAACTAAGAAACTTATTAGGGATGAGCTTCTACGACCTCATCGTGTGCATTCTTCTCTCGTTTATGTAAATCGGAGCATCTAAAGAGACCTTTCGCCCTAAGGCTACTCAAAATGAATATCTCTCCATTATAGCACTAAAGCACTCCATCAGCTCCGTGAACTTTATTAGACCTAATCTAAACTAAGCAACAGTCCGAAAACAAATGAGCAAATCTCCTAATTTACAAGGGAAAACCATGTCCAAGCTTAGTTTAGCACATTGCAAATAGGGGATATCCCACTACAGCCTCCTACATCGCCCTTGTACTTCATTGTATGATCACTTGGAGAAAATAGAAGTGAAAGCAGAGAAATGGAAGAATGGAACTCATCCAACCATACATTTTCCTCGACTAGAATACAGCAGGTATCAGCCCGAAGGACTCGATTGATATCGACCCTCTTCAACATTTACGCAGAGAAGAGACTACAAATATTCAATCCACCACTCAGACACTAGTTTCTTTCTTCATTTTCCCAGAAACCAAACTGAAATGTTAGGTTTACAGAAATGGCGCACCTAAAATTGGGAGATCCTCGATCATCACCGATTGGTTTTGGAGACATCATCTTTCCGCTTCCCCTCAGGCTGAGACACCAAAAAAGACGGTGCCGATCTTCTAATTTTTAACGCGAAAAGGAAATACGAGCTCCCTCCTTCTGAGCTTCAGGCCCCTAGCTATTGTTTCGAGCTTGAGCATTCACACAAGGGTACAGCAACGACGATTTCTCCTCCGGAAGAAAATGTTCGACGGTCAAATCGTGGTCTTTAGGAGCTATTACGTAAGGTTGTGTTCTCTTTCAACATTCATCTAGTTTCTAGTATCTAGTGATCGCAATGGGTGGGTCGGGAATAGGGATGAAAATGGATCGGGTTGGCGCGGGTTTTGTCAAACCCAAACCCGAATTCATGGGTTTATCCGCCAAAAAAATTCGGAGTAAAACTCGTTGTGTTTGAAAAACTCAAACTCAACCCAACCCGCTGGGTATCTGCGGGTTCATGGGTACCCGTGGGTTTTTGTGGTAAAAAATTTACAATAACAAGTTTCTTTCAAAATAAAAGTTTAACATCAATTTTCTCATACAAATTAATCATACAAAAAATACCAATCTAGAGCATACAAGCAAACCGCAAATGATCAATACAAATTGTTCAAAATTAAAGATAAACATCTATAAACAATAAGATTAATTGAAAGCTTCTTCCTCGTCAACTAAGTTTCTTCACTCTCCACTTCATAATATCAACTTCATTCTAAACAATTAGAAAGAATAAATTATACATGTCTCCACAAACATAAAGAATATTAGTTGTTTAAAGAAGATATATTATTTAGAATATTAAATATATCGGGAAAGTAATTATATGTGTGGGCGGGTACCCATGGGGCGGGTTTACCTAAACCCAAACCCAACCCGACCCGATGAATAGTGTAGCGGGTTTAAACCCGAACTCGGTCCAAAACCCGTCAACACAAATTTTACCCGAGTTGACCGGGTTTGGTCGGGTGGGTACCCGTGGGTTCGGGTTTTGTTGCCATCCCTAGTCGGGAACCTCAATATCCATGCCTCGCCCCATGTTACTACAAGTTGGGGTGGGTAAAACCCACATGGGTACGGGGCGGATCGATCTACAATTACATGTTATTTGAAAAAAACACACGCAAATTTTACTTTTTACAATAAACGAAGAGGAAAACACTTTATGAATGAAAAATAGTGATAACATAATGGATAATTGAGTCTAACGAGTTGAAAGATCGACTCTAACTAGTTGAAAAAAGTCAAAATAAGAGAAATATGTATAGATATTATAAGAAAGTGAGGTAGAATGGGCCAAGAACGGGGCGGGGCAAGACGGGTCGGAAGTAGATACCCATGCCCCGCCCCACGCTACCGCGGGTCGGGTAATACCCGCCCATCGCGGGTCAAGTCGGGTAATACCCGCGGGGACTGGTTTAAATTGCCATCACTACATTCATCTCATTCATAGGCGAAAAGATTGGGCTAGCCATCGGATCGATGGAGTTTAAATGAGATGATTATATTAGCCCAACGATCCAATATCATCGTCCGGGGTGAGCATACGGTTCGGTAAACTCGAACCAAACCGAACAAAAAATTACCAAAACTAAAATTGAGGCTATTCGGCTCGAAAATCGGAGGGGGAAATTCCACGGGTCGATTTTTGTTCATTCAAAGCTAAATTGTTTCACAACAATGTGACAAAGTTACATGCTGTTTGGGACAAGATGAATAGAGCCTGTACAAAATGCAAAATGTGGTGGACCAAAAGGAATCACCTTACAAGCTCTATTGACATTGTTCCATAAAGTTAGAGGAATTGAGCTTGTACAATACGCAAAATATGGTGAACCAAAAGGAATCACCTTACAAGCTCAATTTGTAACCGTCTTCCCTACTAACAAACTGTCCTACCCTAAACAAAATCAAAAGACACTACAACATGTAATTCGAAAAGCAGCCCGCAATCCATCTGTTGCGGTTGAGACTCTAGTTCAGGAACTTAAGACTCACATGGAACTCTAGTTGCCTGTGATCGCAATTTGGATCATAGAATGGAAGATCATCCAACAACTCCTCGGGGTCCTCATCATCTAACACCCGCCGAATTTTGTGGGTAGAAGCTGTTGCTTCTTCTGGAATGTATTCTTCAACAGATTCATCCTCCTCATTAGAACCCACAAATGTATGAGGTTGGTTCACTTCTTCACTGGAACCACTATTCAGAGTGCTGACCGGAGTGCAAAATTGGTCATCAGTCCCCTCTTCTTCATCAGATGACTCGTTGTCGTCAAAGTCACCCACATTGAATATGTCCCTAGCAGCAGACCCCCTCTCCCACGTCATGTGCCTCAACAAAAAAAGCACCTTGAATCCCTTCTGTAGCCTTGTTGTCCCCCATAAAACCATCTTATCTCTCAATAACCTCAGCAAACACAGTCACCACCTTAGTCTCGGATGCATCAACAACCAAGCCCTCCATCACTTCCTTATCAGATTTCACTTCATGAAGGCCATCAGACATTGAGGATCCCGGGGTCAGGTACCAAATCTTTGGAACACCTTCATTGTCCAAGTGCACCGTAGCTAATGCCACAAGTCCAAAATATGACACTTGATCAACATCAACGTTGAACTTCTCACCAAAAAAACCCCTGATATCTCGTGGTGCATCACTAGAGAAGTCCATCTCGCCTCCATGATTGTAATCAATCTCCATATATTCAATCATCGGCATGGTCAAGTAAAATACATGTTGATATTGTGCTTGGAAGCAAACAAGCACAGTAAAAGATAAGAAAGTTTAGCCAACAACCAAAAAAGGAGGGCTTTTTCGAAGGATGCAGCAAACAACAGTAATATATTCCCAGTCACATGTGTTGGTTGTTAAAAGATGGTCAAATTTGAAATCCTTACCACTGTAATTTACAATTATATCCACTAATTCCAGTTTCTTTCATGTTCATACAAGGGCTATTTCGTGAACAATCTGTAAAGATCCCACTGTGGTCCTCACAACCAACTTGCACTAACAGTTTCGAAGAATCAAACTATGAATAGTGGAGAAGATTGCTAGATTCACGAAACCCTAAACCATCAAAATGGGTAATGTTCGAATTGGAGAAACTCTAAACATTCAAAACCTAATTTCGAGTTTTCTGGTAAGATTTCGACAGAAACCAGTCAGAGCCACCTTACCTTTGTTGAACGAATCGTCATTTCCGACTTCGCTTTATCTACCCAAAGCACTCACCGCTTCGACAGAACCCAGATCATGACTCTCTTTTTCCGCTTCGATTAGACTTCTAGTGGCGCGATTTCATATGAGAAAGTGTGGGAGAGGGGGACTTTCACAAGCGATGGCAGTCTCGCCGCCTTCCTTGCAAGACGTGTAGAGAATCCTCGTCGGCGAAGTTCGTAGATGATCTTCAAAGACGAAGGAGGAGACATACGAGAAGATGAGGGAGAGGATAAGGCGGGTGGTGAGTGGACGTGAGTGAGGGAGGTAAAGTAATTTTTTTTTTTTTACACTTTTTATTTTTCATAACTTAGGTATTGCCACATAGACGACCACGTTGTCTATCCACCGGGGGCACCTAGGGCAAGGGGAGGGGTGTATCTGCCCCAAAATTTTGTGAAGGAACTCCATTTTTTCGGTACAAAATTTTTTAATTTGGGATTTCCGGCACCTCTCTAATAATTATAAGCGACACACTTTCATTATACGAAAATAGGTTTAATGTTATAAAGTTATTCATCATAATTAGTAATTAACAATAATAAGTAAAATCAAATAAGCATGCTTGTTTTAAGTAACCCACAACCCAATTTAACTTGTCGATTTGTAGTTAATAGGTGAATTGCGTATATTTATGGGAGATTGTGGTTTGATTTTGGTTAATTTGATAGAACTAGAGAAAAATGCTAATGATATTACTTTAGTCATACTTTGTTTTAAAATAGCCGATTGGTAGAAAACTAATTTATTTTAACTTAATTTGATTTTAGACGTAGGCCGATTCTCTTTGGTTGAGTGACTAATTTATGAATGATTATGTAGTTGTGTATATCGAAAAAGGTTTGATTTGCAACATAAACAATGAATGTATTTTAAAAAAATCTCAGGATATGAAAAATTATCATAATTCGTAGTAAACATGGCGTTGTGAACTTATAAATGAATTTCCAGTAATTTATATTAAATATTATAATTTTTTATCGGCGACACCCCTCTTCAATAATCCTTGGTCCGCCACTACTATCCACCTCAGCTTTTTTAGGCCAACTCAGTATTGCGGACAGACAAACTAACGGGTCATTAACGAGCAACTAACGATTGACTAATACTTTGTAATACTATACTTGTGGCTATAATTCCCTGCTTCACAATAATTATGATTAATATATTATATTTATCCTTTTTATATTCAAGATAAACCTCCATTGCATGGCCAAACAACAAATTTACAAAATTGATAATGATAATAATAAAGAAGGATAGCTCCTACGCACCCGACTCCGGGGTTGTGGTTGGAACAAAAGGATTTGTATTTGTCAACAAAACAAAGACCTTTTCTTTAACATTGTCGTCCATAGCAGGATTATTTGAAGGTCCCCGGAAGTAACAACTGTTGAACTCTTCATGAAACACAACCGTGAACCTTTGAACTCTTCTGCAACGAAATGGTTACTATGAAGGAATCGAAGTCTTCACATAGTCCACTGCATCAAAATGGTGATGAATTTCCTAGCCACTAAAACTTTTGCTATACTTTTCCACTTCATTTACACACGCTAGCATCTATTATTGTACATGGTAACTAAAAGGTATAAAGGTTCCGCCTGTAGTCCATCGAGCAAAACCAAAGTTAACCACTAAGTAAAACTCTACTCTTTCACCCTAAAAAGAAAACTGGAAGTTAACTTTGCTGTGTATCCTGTCTCTGAATTCACCCCCACTGCCGAATCTTTCAGAGTGTTTGGAGGAATCTACTATTTACTCCGGCTCTATACATATGCAACTCTGATACCGTCTTCACGTTGATCTGGGTACCCGCAGGGGCAAATATCACATCACCCTCCATCACTACATCTCTAGAAGATGATGACCCTGCCTGCATTGCTCCTTCTCCACCTATTACCACAAAAATCGAGGGGCCCTCCACCGCCGGAAACACAGTGGATGCACCTTTTGGGAGGAAGCAACGGTCCATCTCAAATTCATCAAATGGAGGTAGGTACCTTGTGATGTATGGACTCAATGGAAACCCTTTCAGGATTTCTGGGAACCCCTGGATTCGGCAGATCAGAAACGCCAATCAATGAATATCGTTCAAAACGAGTAAACACTATTGAGTTGACGAATCGATGGTCAATAGTATTCAGGTTTTTACCTGTTTGTAGGTGAGCATAGAACAGAGAGTTTGGACATCCCGATGCTTGGGAGTAAGGCCAGCCCTCACGACATTGTCTGATGTTGCCATGACTTCAATGCACTCACCCGAGATATATGCGTGCGGTTCATTTGCACCAAGATACAAAGCTTCACCAGGATTAAGTTTGATATGATTAAGAAAAAATGCTGATATGACACCAATATCGTTTGGATATTCCTTCTCCAACTTCAAGACCAGGTTTTCTTTATCAGTCAACCGCCGCACCTGTTATACCTTAGGGGTTAGAAGGATGCAAACACAGAGGGATAATATTTGACTCATCATGGTTTGGAAGTAGGATCGATCAAGAGACAAGGTATTGTTTAGGCAAAAATCCTTCGTTTAGTTTTGAGACAGCAGATTGCAACAAACCTGGCTCTGCATCTGCAATCTGATTTTCAACTTGGATACTGCTTCAGTTGTCATCTCCTTGCTAGCTGACATTAGTTGGGTGAAAATGGATCGAAGTATTGATTTCACCTTCTCGCCCTCCACTTGATCATTGATATGCAATAGCTGGCTTGTGTCGTTACTGTCAATCAGTTCTACAACCTCTGGAATATAACGGATGACATCTTTAAGCTCCTGTGGCACAATGAGAAAAGAAACTTAATTCCAGGCCTTATATGATCATATGAGCTTCATAAATGAACTGTTATGGGAACTAATTAAGTTTTGCTGAAGGTGCATTTGCAAAGAACAATGGCTACCGGAGGCTTTTATAGAAACTCTATGTTCCAATATGTGGGGCCACATCTGGCTAACCAGATTAAGCAATAAGGAAATGCGACTTCCCAACAACAAACAGCAGGTCAAAAGCTTCCCAACTAAACCAAAGGAAAAAGCATGCGAGACATAGAAGCTTCATTATTCTATGGTGGCTGGCCAAGCTGTAAACTACTGTTCAGACTCATCATACTGATCCAGCCAAATTGCAGAGAATTAGAAAACCCAAAAAAGGAGAGGAGACTTCTCCAGGTCCTTGCGGAATTCCCATTTTAATATAATACAATAGGGTTTGTCCTAGATCACTAAAAGAATTCACATGAAAGCAAGTAGCTTGTCATGGATCCATCACGTGCCACGCCACCGACAAACAGGAAAAACAGCTAACTCCAAAGAATTCCCTTTAGTGATGATGAACAAGAGCACAAAAAGGGATCGAGATGAAGATGAAGGAACTATACCGCAAAAGAGACGAAACCGCAAAGGGCCTCAAACTCTGTTACGGCCAAAGCCATCTCAGGCTTGTGGCTGTCATCCTTGTAAATATTTGGGTGCAATTTATGGAGCTTCTTTGCCAATTCTTTATCAGGGTGCGCCTGGATTGACAGTGCTTTTGCCACAGAAAGTATCTGGAGAAACCAAGGAGAATTGAATGAATCACTGGGACTCCATTAAGCTGATTCTTGTCAAGGGGCAGGGGAGATTTCAGAACTAGTGTGCCCAAAGACGAACTTCCGTTCAGTCACATTATCAAACACTTGGAGTACATCAAAATGACAGCCAAAACGAATTCACACAAGTTCTAGCTACTCAAACAAAATTCACAAATCAAAACTGCTGGACTAAATCAGGAATTGCCTGGACACTAAAGGCAATGCAGTGAATTGCGAGGGCTGGAATTCATACCTTGAATAAGAAGGGGAGATCAGACCCCCACTTATCCAAAACCTTATCACCGAGGACGGAAGGGTTCTGAACGATCCAGTCTTTCAAACTCAACGCAGCGCCGGAGTGGGAGTGGGAGTGGGAATCAACAGCAGCGCCATTCCCATTCGCATTCCCATTCTCAATCCCTGCACTACCGACAACGAAAGAGGGGCCGGAGGCATGGATCCCCATCCAGAACTCAGCATAAGGCTTGTTGAGTTGGATCTCGGAGCCAGAATTCAAAGCACAGACCTTTCCGACCAGGGAATCCCGTCCGGTTCTGCCCCAATCGTAGTGCTGGACGGAGCACCTCAGGCGGCGGAGGGGGCGGTGGTTCTCGACCAATTCAGAGGAATCCATGGAACCCAGCTCTGGAAATCAAAGAAGGATTGAAGGGAGAGGGAGTGAACAGGATTAGGAGCGATGTGGGTTTCTTCAGAGCAATGTGTGAAGAGAAAGGGTAGTGGGTCTGGTTATAAAGGAGGAGGATTGGGATTCGGTGGCCATTGGAAGGTGAAGGGTGAATGAATGCGCGGGGAGGAAGTTGAGTGCTATTGCGGGTAAAATTGCGCAGGCTTTAACAGAGAGGAGGGGGAACGTGGGGAAGAGAACGGAGAGACTTGAGGAAGAAACAAAGGAGAGGAAACTTGAGGAAGAAGAAGAAGAAGAAGAATGGAGGGTGTGGGGTTGGCTGATTCTCTTGATTCTGATGCAAAGAGTAATTGACTGCGGCAGGCAGGGAAGCAGTTGGGTTTTCTTCTTTTCTCGCCTTCCTTCTGCTATACTTACCGTTCGGAACGCCTTTTATACCTGTAAATTGGATCCCACGGAATTCTCGTTTTCAGTCATTGCCTACAACAAGAACGCTTTCTTTCTTTCTTCCAGACTTTCCCAAAGTCCTATCGCCTACAAGAAAGGTGCGGAGTTAAATGCAGACAGCGCTGGGTTTAAACTTTAAACCCACTCTAGGTCACTTATTTATTAGGTTCTTCCCATTTTGGTCATTCAACTTTTGCAAAGTTATTAGATACCGAGAATCTTCACTTTTTTTTGTCATAGCAATCCTTGCGGAATAACTAGGTAAACGCGAAGGAAGTCACAATGATTCCCGATCCGTCATATACTAAAAACAGACCATATATGAGAAATCAAACAACACAGTAGTGAGATCAGGATAGCGTAAGGCATTGCGCGCCACACAATGGGCAGTCTGATTCTCTTCTTGAGGAGTGAAAACAAATTCTACTAACGATAAATCGGAAGAGAAGAGCATACTTATGGTAAAATTGCACCAAATCAATCGTTGTGATTGTTGCGAGACACCGATTGTGGTATCAGAGCTTGGCTCCATCAATCAAGGTTTAACCACCTCTAGAGAAGATGGCTTCGGGGATAGCCAACACAAGTGGAATATTCATGGATGATGGATTTTCTCAAACACGACTGCCAATGTTTGAAGGAGTTAACTATGGATACTAGAGAAATCGCATGGAGTTGTTTATAGGATCAATTGGTCATGATCTATGGAACATAGTTATGGACGGACTGCTTGAACTGAAGGAGGTTCATCGGAAATGGTATGATAAAGACAAGAAGAATTGTCAACTGAATTCAAAAGCAACCAATCTTATGGATTGCACCTTGGGTCCTGGTGAATATCACCGAATCTCTGGATGAAGACTAAAAAGGAGATATGGGATAAGCTGCATATCGCTCATGAAGGTGCATCTCATGTCAAATTTCTACGATCAATAGTCTCAAACAAGAATTTGAGTCATTTGTGATGAAATTGGATGAAACAATTAAGAAAATGCATGATAGATTCACTACAATAGTGAATAGCCTAAGAAACCTGGAAGTTGAGTATGCTAGTGTTGATCTAGTACGAAAATTTCTTTATGCTCTTCCTAAGAGGTGGACACCAAAGGTTACGAGATTGAGGAATTCA